AATATACATATATAAATATATTTAACAAATTAACTAACGAAAAAATTAAAAAAATATATTTTTTATAATTGAATAATCAAATAAGTATGTAAAAAAATTGAGAGACTAAACCTATATAAAATTTAAAAATTGAGGGAACAAAAATTGCATTTAACCTTTCTAAAAGAGACAGGTTTTTTGGTACATTTTAATGTGGGTGTGGTGCATGTTACCATTTCTGCTAATTGACTTCCTTATTTTCCTTTAAAAGATATATAAACAATTCCACAATTTGAACGCAAAACTTCAATCGAAAAGTTACAAATTCTGACATTTGAAGTATGCTGTGTACGGAAGGCTCCAAAAAAAAATCATAAGCTTTGTTAGTAGGGTATAGTTTAAAAAAATAATAGATAATAAATTCATTCTTAAAATACATTTATAAGGTAGAAAATTCCTAAAAATATTATGCTATGTATTGTATATTATTACTTAATTTGTGCCATTTATTTATTCTTTTTATTCAATTTTAGTAGATTTGATTTTTAATTTAAGGTACTCAAATTTAGTTGTTTACATTTTTTAAATATCTTATTCAATATATTTTTTCTATTTTATCATTATTTTAAAAAGATAATTATTGTATATTTTAAATAAAAAATTTTATTTAAGTATTGTGTAAATAGAGATAAAAATAAAATTTTATTAATTAATTTATGAGTATAATGTGTATTAATTTTAACTCTAAAAAAAAATTAAAGTCACAATTTTGTAGTTTCATTTAATTAAAATTCAATTTAAAAATTAAATATTCACTTCATTAAATGTTAATTGCTACATTTGGAAACAAAATTTAATTCAAAATTTAAAAATTCACTTTACTAAATATTGATACATAAATTTAAAAACTAATTAATTATATTACAATATATAATTTGTTTCCAAATTTAGATATCAACATTTAATAAATTGACTTTCTAAATTTTGAATTAAAATTTAATTAAATAAAAGAGATTAGAGTTTAGTAGTCTTGACTCTTAAAAAAATTAGAATCTCAACTTATATTTAAAAATTGAAATACCAATTCAAAATTTAAAA